AGATTTGAAATTTTTCTTTTCCTATAATTGAGCTTTATTTCCCTATACAAGTATTAACCATTGCCATATTTCCAGTTCCTGAGGAGCGAAGGAGTTGGCAATACTGAGGTAGCTTTCTTGAGTTCTCATCAATATAACTAAAATGAAGGTAAGTGTTTGACTATAAACATATACTCCAAGTAAATAAAAGTGTTTAGAAGAATGGAGTACTTGCTGGGGATGAATGAGAATAATCCAGTTCATAGGGGTGGATTTAGAGAGAAATTGGGGTGCACTTAGGAATGGCTGTGTCAAGATGATAAGTAAGAGCACTCTTGTCGGTTGAATTATGAATAATTTTGATTGAGTTTATGGATATCATTTTGATTAATATAATTTTGGAGAAATCAAAGATGAAAATATAAGTGCCTCTCTGGTAAATCTGAATGTGATTATACAAGTTATTACAAATCAATATTTTAATTTGCGATGAGAATTACAAAAAAGTGAGAATCATGCATTAAGACATTAGAGTATGTTTAGGAAAATAGTACCCACCCAAACGGTGGGAGTTGAATTTATAAGGTTAAAATTGGGTTCTTTATCACTTTCTAATTATATCTAATTTCCTAGGAAAAGTTGCAATTGTGTGCTCAGGGATTTACATACAGTAGAAGTAATCTCAGCATATAAACATAGAGATAAATAAATTAGCTTGTTTTTGACAAGTTGAAGCTTTTGAAATTGGATGGGTAGAAGAAACCATTAGGCATTTTTGTGGTGCGTTGACCTTGGCTGAAAATTATGGAAAATGTATCATTATGCAGATTTTTGCCTTTCCTGAAATCAGAAGTAAATTTTGACCATGAAATCCCTAAGGGAATGCGAATTCTTCAATTTGGCAGTTATAATATGGCCCATAGAATTTTCATAAAGCAGTGGCAATTTCAGACTAGTCTCATGTATTAGACTGTTAAAGTAAGTCAGCACGATTCTGCAGAATACTAAAGCATTTATGGGCATTGGAAACTGACATCAGCTAGTAAAAATACCTTGAAAGAGGACTTGAATTTAGTTCCTGAGATGCATGTTAATATTGCACTTGCTATTATCACTTAAGTACTGCCCAATTTTTACTCTGTAACTGCAGGGAAACTATAACATACGCATTTTCATTCTTATAAATTCCTCGCACCCTTTTTTTTCTTCTCCATTAGGGGGTGCACAAGTATAGGAGCAAATACTTTAACTTGAGCCTCAGCGTCCATAGGTACAGTTCCCAATCCTCCAGTGTGTTGTTTTCAATTTTGCCAAAATACTTTTAAGTAGAACTGAACTCCTAGTATGTCATCCACTTTTCAGGTTTGATTTCTAGGTCCAAAACTTTCTACCCAACTCTTTCGCATGCTTAACCAGTTTATGGACCAAGGACTTACATTATTTTCTCATTACTGATTATTGCTTGTTTTCTTGGTCTTAGAAACTGAACTCAGATTTCAAGTCAGCTGACCTGACTTTGAACAATGATCACTTTTAATTGTGCAGAGCACTGCAGTTTGTAAAGCAGCACCACGGTCACTGATGTTCTGCAGAGCTGCTTTATATTCCCAGCTCTACTACAATGCCAGTGCATCATTTATAGAAATGTGCAAAACTAGCACAAAGGAATCTAGGACTTAAAACTCCATCTGACTGAATACTGTGAGGACTATAATTAGAGGACAAAAATTGTTACTGAATTTATCCAATTATGAGAAATCAAAATGTAATTTTTTAAAGAAACAGATTGAAAATTCAAAATTTTATGACATTTTAATTTATTTTGTAAATACTGAATGTGAGCTAGCATTGCAGCATACAAACTTTCTGATGGAAGATGATGTAGAGAGAAAGTCTGCAGTCATTTACTGTACTAAAGCACAATTGTCCAGGTCCCATAATATACAACTATATAGAGGTACACACACACATATATCCTTTTTAAATTTACATTTGATAGAGATGGGAATTTCTATCTGTGTAAACGTGGAGCCCAATCCATTATTTTAATGGTATCTATAAGAGTATTTGCACTTTTTTTTTTTATTCCCTGTATCTTGGACTTGTTATTAAGAAAAACAGTAACAGACCATTTTACACAGTCCCTGGCTTAAGTTCACCTGTAAGGCACACCCTAACATCCAGCTGAACGTTGGGGAGTGCCCCAGATCTCCTTGACCACGGCAGCATCTTCTAACCAGGTTATCAACTTCCAGAATCAACTTTGACTGCTCAGCAAGTTAAAACTTTGATCCTGGGCAGTATACCTGAGTGAATTATTCCAAATGATGTGGCAATAATTCCAAAATGTGGCACCATCCACCAGAGAGAAGATAGGTCCTCAATATTTCAGTCAAAGCCCAGCTCCTGGCCAGGATAGTGGCAGACATGACCTATTTCTGCTCTGCTCTTGGAAAATAAAGAAAAACGGCTTTTCTTGGTTGTGGCACACAGAGGAGAGCGGAATAGCACAAGGGTGGTGATAGTGGCAGCTCCCCTTTTTATGTGTAAATTACCGTTTCATTAGCGACAACTTCAGTACTCAAAATAAATCTAGGCTGGCCATTTAGAGGAAAATCAGAACGAGTTGTGTTATCTCCTTTTTAGAACTATTTCCTGTGCTAGAAGAGGTTCCCTTCTCAATTAGGTTTAGTTCCTTTTAATAACTTATTCTCCTGGTGGCATCTATTGCCATTTATTGGCTTTCCATATGAAATACAGTATAATTTTGTTAAGGAAATTTAACAGTATGTGAGGTGAGGATTGTCTGCAGTTTTCTTTTGCGATATTGGAATAAGCATCACTTTGCACTCCTGTGTTAGTCATTTGTAAAGTGGACTCACTGTGAAATCATTATTAAAGAATCCTTTACCTGGAAAAATGTTCAGCACTTGGAAATCATATGTAAAGAATACAAAGGAGCCACCAGTCAGCAGGTAAAGAGTCAACAACAGCCCGCTACCTGTTTTTGTAGATGAAGTGTTACTACGACACAGCTATAGTCATTTGTTTACCTGTTGTCTGTGGCAGTTTCACATACATAGCAGAGTTGAGTAGCTGCAAGAGACCATCACCCACAAAGACAAATACTTACTGTCTTACCCTTTTCAGGGAAAGTTTACCATGTTTTTTGTTTGTTTTCTTTCCATTGAGCCTATCTTTATGCAAATACACATACGTATTTTAGCTGTTCTTTGGGGATATTTAGAGAAAAGTGACTGAACTTAATCCCTGTTATTTTGGGTTCAAGTGGGAGTAGATGTGTAGCATTTTGTGCATATTTGCAAAAGAGCTTATTAGGAACAAACTATCTTGCATTTTTGTTTTAAGATTTTAAAACGTGTGTGGTTAGTTGTATGTACCTTGATTTAAATAATTTTGATACTTTCAATATTTTTATTAAAATAATTTGGTGGAAGTTGCTAGAAGTAATAGGTGTCCAGCTAGAAAGTTTTCAGTACAGACTCTTAAACTCTCCAGGAACTGGATGGCTGGCTGGATAGGTTTTATTATGTTTCCTGTAGTCCAGACACTTTAATACAATGAAAATTTGATATATTATTGAGAAATTTCAATTCTCCGGTTTTCAGAAGGATTTCTGTTAAAGTGCAATATCATTGTGCTGTGTACAAACTTTTTCAAAGATTTAGAGATTTCCAAATGTAAGGATTATGTTTTTGGTTTTATCATTCAAAACAGCATGCTGTTAGGAATGAGGTAGTCAGAGTGTGGCTATCCTTTTAAACTGTAGTTGAAAGCTAGGTATACTTTTGTTTGACATTTTAAGACTTTGTTACAATTAATGGCATAAAAAAAACCTTTTCGTTGTCTTGTGATTTATTTTTTATTTTAAGAAGTGTGGATTTGTTCAGTTTTTCCATTGTTTGTTTCCTGATTGCAGTGCAAATTCTAGTTCGGTGCCAGTTATACATGCAGAATTTTTAGGGTGACGAGGATGTGGAAGAGGATGCTTGAAGTTGGGATATACAAGAATAAGTAAAATAAGAAAATTTTAGGATAGTGTACCTTTTCCTTCCGAGAGAGTGGAAATTGGGTTAATTTTCTGTCCATACTCTTTCTGTGTGTCTATCAGAAATGACAAGTGTATTTCAGAGAGGTTTATGGTTCACTAGGGTCTGGGAGCCTTTTAAAGTGTCTGTGCCCAGAGGCTGGCGCATAGTAAGTATCAGTGTATGCTTGCTGTTTCTGTGTAAGAATGGGGGGGGAGCCAAACAGCCATTTAGAGGTGATTCTGGCTCTCTGTGGAAGTAAATTCAACAGTATGACTAAAATGGAATGAAAGCGAGGAGGGAAAATAACCAGCACCAAATCCTCCTGATACCAGTTTGCTGGGAGTGTTGTTTTAGTGATGAGGACAGGCAGAAAGGCAAGTCAGAATTTAGGGGACTAGGGCAGCAATGAGCAATAGAATGCACTATTGCCTCACACAGCAACATGGATGAATACCAGAGACATAAAAGCCACACACACAAGGGTTGACTGATATTAAAGTTTAAGACCTGACAAAAATAATCGCTAGTGATAGATGTCCCTCAGTATCCGGGGTAGGAGGGAGCCCGAGGGAACCTTAGGGTGACAGACATATAATGCATTCTTAATCTGGATGGTGTATAATTCATCAAGTACTGCATGTTCTATACTGCAATTTGTGAACTTTATAGCTCAATGGAAAATTAAATAATAGTCATGAAAATAGGTCACGGAGAGGGCACCAATTTAGCATGAATGCTTAATAGTGTCCTTGGAAGAAAAGCATGACAACTTTCTGCTAAGTTAAGCATTGGAGACTTTTCTGAATGACACAGTAATTTTTGTTGCAAAACATTTCAATTCCCCGAGAATGCTTAGCTTGTGGTAAAATCCCATGTATTTAGCTGCAGCAAGGTGAAGGCTGCTGAGCATAGTTCTCTGTTGATTCTTTGTGGACTTACTGCTTAATGCAATGCCTTTTTTCTTTCCAGATTGGCAGATTGCTACTTTGGCTTTACTCTTGGGCGGAGCCGCCATAATTCTCATTGCATTCCTGGTGGGTTTGATTTCTATCTGCGTGGGATCTCGAAGGCGCTTCTACAGACCTGTTGCTGTCATGCTTTTTGCAGCAGGTAAATATATTCATTACTTTCAAACTGGTATTAAAGTTTCATGAGCCTTTCTACTCTCCTCCCTTCTGCAGAAGCTGTATGTGGTTACTGCATTACATACAAATTGAGACCCATTTGTTATATTTTGAAGGTAAATTGGCTAAGGGTTTATCATATCTCTTTTCAGTGTGGTAAGCATTTCTCAGAACACAGTGGCAATTTCTAAATTTCTAACTAAAACATGAATGAAAAATAGTTTTGGGCTGTCACCTTTGGATTTGCAGCGGATGTATGTATGTACCAATTCTATTTGTTCACACTTAGTTTTCTTTTTCCTCTTTCTTTTACTGCTCCCATGGTGATCTGAAAGCAACATTTTTTTTCTGAAATTACCTGAAAAAAAAAAAAAAAAAACAATGCTTGTGTCCTCGAAAGGTCTAAAATAAGTGTTTGACAATAAATGTAGTTATATTGAAAACCCATGATGTATAACTAGAACCATTAGAGAATTCAGTTGTATGAGGTCATATGCATATGTATCAATTTAAACATTCTATAACGTACAGCCAAGGTAAAACTGCAAGTTTTACTAAATATCAACCAGGATAAAACTGCAAGTTTTACTAAAAGCTAGGGAGCAATTTAGAAAAGGGTCTTAAATACACAATGCATTATGCGATAGGAACTTAGTTTTCGTTTGTAAGAATATCCTTGGGTATATTGTTCTCTTTGGCTACAACTGAAATATTCTATTGGTGCCTTCCATTTTCTCTGTCAGTCATAGCTGATTTGAAGACTGCAAAATAAGCCCCTGTGACTGTCATTAATGAAGATACTGACAGAACCATCCAGACTGTTAGATGGATTTTTAAAAGCTGTTTAAAGATGGGAATAGATGAAACTTGTCCATGTTGTAGTTTGAGCTAAAAATACAAAATCAGAAGAGTTCTGCTGCCCCCTGCTGTTTGTGTTCATTTTCTACCCATGAAGAAAATCCAAGGGCTGAGAGAATCTAGAAGGATATCTAACTCCAGTGTCTTTACGTGACTTGCTCAAGTAGTTTCTGGCTTACCTAGGGCTGGGAGGCTACTGAACCCCATGCTGCTTACTGAATCCTTCATTTATTCACCTGTTTATTGGGTGCCTATTACAGACTGAACATTTTTAGACACTGCAAAACTGACTAATAGCCCCACATATAACCTTCTAACAGAACAGGAAACACTACTACAAAATATAGTTTGAAGTTTTAGGCTGTGACTATAACATTTTGTTGATTTCATGTGTCATTAAATGTCTGTCGTGAATCAGTACATGAAGATTGACATTTATCTCCAGTTTTTTGTTCAGGAATGTACTATGGCTCCTTTTATATTTGTAGAATAAAATAGTTTAGGTATTTTAGTTATGTTTGCCTTTGCAGCTAAGATTCATTAACAGAGATTAGATAATACTTGTAATAGGTTTTTTGATGAATTTTTATGAAATTATATACCATTTTAAAAAAAAACGGTGCTTTGAATAATTTTTATAATACTCAGGTATTTCTGATTTTAGGAAGATGCACTTCCTAAAATCCTAAAGTTGAACTTTTCCCTCTAAATATCCAGAATTATTGTACTACCTAATAACTGTCTCATTTAGCCTTTAATTTACTGCATATTAGAATATGCAAATCTATAAAGCAATCCATTGTTTATTGTACCTATTTAAACATGCCTAGAAAAATAACTGGAAATGCCTGGTTTTTTTCTTAAGGTAAATATGTTTTCCAAGTATAACGAAATTTGTGAAAATAAATAGCAGAGGTACTAGAAAACATAGATGAATGTTAGTTAAAGGTAAACGGGCTTGGTTAAAATAAAGATCTTGTTTTGATTCTGGCTGCTACAAATATTGGTAAGTTGTAAAATAATGAAAGGAATCCCTTCAGCAATATTCATATGGTGCTATTCTACCTGCTGACTCTGAAAATGAATATTAATTGCTACTTTTAAAATATATACATGCACTGAGACTTAATTGAACTTATTCTCGTTGGACATGATGCTTACAGAAGCTTTAAAAAAAAGTTTAGTGTTAGTTCAGTGTTCACTTTGCATATAAACTATAAAACCTAACTGTTTATGTGAAAACATTTCATAAAAAGATTTCTGTTCCCTATATACAGAAGCCATTAAAGAGATACCTGTAGCTGATTTCTGGAAAAGATACTCATATTATGTATAATAATCTATTACTGATTTGGGTATAACATTAACAAAGTTGTAAAATCTGTCTACTTTGGAACAACAATGGTTGGGTAAACATACATTTGGGTGATTGGCTTGTCTCACTTGTGATTCAGTTTAGTGAATCTTTATAAATTAGTATTTGGGTAATTTCCCTATTTTATTCCCCTGGTTAACTTGAAAATGGTCTGCATTTCCCTTCTCTTCTTAAAAATACCTTCTCCAGATTTTATCAAGATTAGCATTCACTCACACAGAACATATCTATCTCAGTGAAGAAATGTTCTTTCTTGTACTGAGGCTTGTCCAAACAAACGTGGCACTGCCACTTGGAAAGTTCCCAGCTGGGACTGCAGAACTAATTCAGTACCATATGCTAGACCTGGTACACGGAGGCACTCAAAAAATAGATGTTGAACGCCCTCCCTGGTGGTGCAACGGGTTAAAGTACAGCACTAAGAAGCTAAAGCCACTTCCGCATGAGTTCCATCCCTGCCCCGGAGGTGACCACATGGCGCAGCGGACCTCTCCTGACCCGCCCGCTGCTCCCCTCAGCAGTGTACTTCATCAGTCTGCCTGTTCTGCTCCCCACGCTGTCTCTGGTGAATCCTTTCACTACCCCTGCACCTCTGGCCTGTACCCTAGTTCTATATGTATAAATAAATAAATCTTTAAAAAAAAACAGATGTTGAATAACTGATGGAAAGATGACAAAGGTAGGTAGCTTCTAATCTGATGGGGAATAGTAGGAATGCCAACAACTAATTGTAGTTCAGTTTCTTTACCTTTCTCTAATTTCTTCCCCATTGACACCCAGTTTATTTTTTTTTTTAAGTCATTTCTCTGCAATGTATGAAGCATTGAGTTTCATGTGACCACAAAACAAAGACCAAAGCAGCCCCAAAAGTAATTTAAGCTTTTATAGTAGGTCAGTGTTAAGACAACTTGTACTCGAGGGTTTTTACTAAAAGCTAATGATTAAGTCTGTTAAAGACAATCAACCAGATTTTAAAGGTCTTTTTATCTTCTATTTTTCTCTGAGCTCATTGGGTGGGCGTGTTACATACTTGAACAGTTGCAGGGTCTAACAGCTAGCTGTCTCTGTCGCCCTTCCAAAACATTGTCCCGTGACCTACAACTCTCACTCACTGGTCCCAGTTATCTAGAGAATAAGCTGTTGTTTATAATCACCAGTAACTAACTGAGCACTTAACTTGTTTTACCATGGTAGACACTTAACCATACAATCTTAAAATTTTAGAAGCCAAAGATTCTTCTCTTCATAGAACTTCAGATCCCATATTACTTTCCATTATCAAACTGCTCTTTGTGTAGAACAGTTCATAGTGTCACTGCCACTATTTAAATTAGCTATTTATTTCCCTCATATTATCAATGAAAAATCAGACTCAGAAAATTTTCCAGGGGTATTACCCAGCTAGTAAGTTACAAAGTGTAGGTTTAAAATCAGGTCATCTATCTGAATTGAAAACCCAAGTCGGGATTCATGAGTCATCTCTACGTGGATATATTTAACACATAGAAAAGCAAGAGCAGAATCAGCCTTGAATTTTGTACAATGGCTAACTGTATTGCAGTTAGAATTCATCCTGTAACACCAGCTACTTCTTCTCTGGGAGCAACAGCTAAAGGAAGTCAACAACAACTTGAGATACACTATACACCACAAACTGGTCAGTGCAGCATGACTGAACCGTAACACATCGTGAAAAGCTGTCCATGTGTCCAGTCAATTTACTACAGCATATTGCTTGGTCAGTAACCAGCAGTGACAGATAATGAAGAAAGAGATTCTGACAACTGGCATCTGATTCTAAGTAAAGACAGTGAAATTAGAGGGGTGCAGCTCTTTGGATCCTCTTATTGTCTGGCTTTGCTTGTCTCTTTATTTCCCACTGAGACTTAGATTCTTTTTTTTTTTTTTTCCTCCAAGGTCCTGGACACAAATTGCAGAAAATTCTTAAATCCCTTCTAATTCAGATATTTTTAGTAACGGAATCCTCACATATTATATTATTAAAGATGTTTTCTTTCTGTTGTATCTCCAAAAATCCTTCAATAAATGTTTGTTGATGCAAAACAGTGACATTTTTTTTCAGGATCCTGCAATTACTTTCCATCTATGAGCTCTCTGTGACTAGAAGCTTGTGTTTTACAGTTTTCCTCACCATTTTAAAAGTCACTGTAGAAGGTTGGAAGTATTTTCTTTTCAGTCTAGATTTTGACAGAAAAATCAATGTCTAACTTAGATTTCATACTCAAGGAGTTCTTCTATTCACAGATCTTCAGATTTCAATTACTTTCCATGTGTCATTATCAGACTCCTCTTTGGCTAGAACAGTTTATAATATCATTGCCAATAGTTAATTTCCTGTGTACTACTATTTTTAGGAGTTATCCCTTAAATTCATAAAAAAGAAAAATAGTTTCATATTAGTCCTTCATCAGCAGATATTTTTATTCTCCAAATTATCATTTTCTTTATGTAAGTAAATTCAATATTTAGGGACTTTACTGATAAGTTCTATCAATTGTGTCTTTCAAGCAGCTTCTTTTCATCTGCCGTCAGACTTACTTTAGTTGAGGGTACAGCTGTTCCTTGAGTGGAACATAGCTCAGTTCCCAAATTTGATCTTCTTCTACGTGGTTTTATTTTCCTGTGCTAGCTTCTGACTTTAAATGTCTTTGTGACTCCTTCATTAGAATCCAGTTGTTTTTTTTTTTCTTTTGTGATCTTTACATTCCCTAGCTACTCTTTTCCACTGACATCACCTCAGTCAGCACTGCACAGAGGTTTTCATGCACTGACTAACTTCCTAGGGGTCTGGCCTCCTGTCTCCTGTCCATTTAGTCGTCTCAGACACAAATACATGAGGTGGAGTTTTGAAATACAAACCTGATCTTGTCGTTTGTCCTTTTTGTCTCCCCAGAGGCGGAACTTGAGAGTTGGAATCCAGTGCAAGTACTTAATCTGGGCAGTAAAAGAAGGGGTATGAAAAGAGAGGCAGGGAAGGGAAGGCAGCCAGTAAAGAATACATTAACATGCCAGTTGTCACTGTAAGTGGCTAGAGCTTAATCTTCCTGGAAAAATTTGAAAACCAATGTAGAGCACACAGCTCAGCATTATCTCATTGGAAGGATTAAGGAACTCTGGGGTATTTATATACCAAATTGTGAGAGGCAGGGCTCTTGGTCAGGTCTATTAGGGAGACAGCAGTGTTTCTCAGATCATCAGGCCTGTTCCACAGCCAGAAGAAGGAGCTTTAGTGGAGAGGGGAAATTCAGGCAAAGAAAAATACATGGCAACAAGCAGAAGTGAAGCTGATATGTACTACAGTGGTGTGCATGAGAGAGTACGGTTAGGACTCTGAGATGTCTCCCTATAAAAAGCAAGATCTCTTAGTTTTATGGTCGTGCTAACCCTTTTGTCGTCTCATCCAAACTTTCCCTGTGACTGTGTCCTTCATTCCACCCATGTGAATCTTTTATGGCACACCTCTAAATTCTGTGCAAACTTCCTAGAGCTCTCTTCATCTTGCTTTTCTGAGTTCAGTTCAATTATCATGAACCAGTCAGATGGTGCTTTTCTGAAGTCCTCCTTTCTCTGGGCCAGATTGCTGCTTGGAATATTGGAATAGCGTAGAGTAGCGCTCAGTAAACTGGTAATGAATGAATTCTAAGTGAGCCTGCCTCTACTGCTACCGTACATCATACATACATACATACATACATACATATATATATAGAGAGAGAGAATATGAGATATCAAAAGACAAGAGTCATGCCCTATCTTAACCCTTTCAGTTAAAACACAGTGAGTGCCGAAGACCTTTGAAATATTGAAATGTTCCCATAGAAGAAAATACAAAATATTTCAACACTGAAAAATATTGACGTAAGAAAACCTAGAAAAAAACAAAGAAATTAGTACCACTAAGTTATTTTCATGCTTCTAGCCACATGATTTTATGGTTGGTAGTTTTGTTTCCTCTTTTTAAAAAGTGGGAAGCAGAAGAAAATGAATCCCAAGTGTTCTTCAACTTCTAAAATGCCATACAACTTACATCTGTTGCTTCCGAGGTGGAGCATAGAGTAAACCATAGGCAGCACCTAAAACGTTTCATGGATAGGTGGGAAAACAGAAATACACAGGTTGGTTGGTTGCAAGGAGGCATTTTTGCCTGCATCTGTGTATTTTTTGAGAGTGAAACATTGTTTTCAAATGTAGGATTATCTTTTTTTTTTTCCCCTTCAGTTTTGCTATTTGAATGAAATTTTCTCCATGATCCCAAAGAAAGTAAACTAATTCAGAGGCATGAAGTGTTTTAGGGTGATTTTCATCTGGCTACCACCATAAGAAAGCTGTTCAGGAGAATATGCCAGTGGAGTCTACTAGAGGGAAATCATACTGTATCGTGATATGGAAGCCAAATATTTGCTGAATAAAGCAGTGGTGTGAATAGTAAAAGCAGTCTAGATAAGCACCTCTTTTTATAAATCAGCTGGTTCACAAAAGTAGTAGTATAATCCATTATAGTATAGTATAGATCAGTTACTGTTTGTCTGTTCGCACTCCTTGCCGTTGTCCATGATGCTTAGGATAAAATCCAGACCACCTCATGGCTATCCGTAGACAGCTGGCTGACTTTCCCTTCTCCTCTCATGCCTTACTCTCTAGTGTGATCATAGCGAAACTTCTGATGTCCCAGCACACCCAGTGTGCTCCTACTGCAGGGGCTTCACCCTGCCTGTACCTTCTACCTACTGGGCTACTAGTCGATCATATCCACCTCTCTGTAGCCCTTCTAGTTTTTAGTTCTGTGTTCAAATGATTTCTTCTGAGATGTCTTTCTCAACTCTCCATAGAAGAGTAGCCTGCATCTCTTTGTCTTATTTCTTGTCAGCCCAACTGTTTCACTTGCTGATGGATTTTCTGTCATGAGGCTACTAGCATCTTTTGTTACCAAGCTGTATCACTTTGGACACGTTCAAAGATACTTACTGGATGAATTAATGTGTTGAAAGAATAAGTCAAGTTACTATTCTTAATGCAGACTGATAGTTCAAACATATCCTGGCAGGATCGGTGATAATTTGACTAGTGATCAAGAGTATAGAGACCTAAGGAGAAGTGCCTTTAAAAAAAAAAATACTCATCTATTTATTACCTTTGGAATTTTCTCCCCTGTTAATTCATGATTAATAGTAATTGACTGCTTCTCAATTTTAAGACATTGAAAACATTAAAAGTACCTCAGTGCTGTCCTCAGTAAGCAAAATGAGTTGATTCTTTTAATCAATACATATTTAGTATTTATTAGTCGGAAATACATGAAATATAGGCTATATAATGTTGCTGTCAATTGTCTTAATGACTTAAAATATTTTTGGAGATTCTTAAAGTATAACAAAGTATGATTTGTACTTTGGATGTTAGCACATTTTCCTTTTAAGGTTCTGTTCATTTGCTTTCACTAGTAATGTGCAAATACATCAGGCCAGTGAAAGCCCATAGTAGTTGAGCTAATTAGCAAAAATGTCTAGAATTCTCTGACTCCATTTGACATTCCCCCATCCCTTGTCAGAGCCTGACAGAAGCTATGGTTTTAAAGAATTGTGCCTTCATGAATTTTCTTTAGTTCTTTAGTTTTATGAATGAGATAACTCACTATTATGTTGACTGCCTAGGAACATTAATCATATTAGTTAGTAATAGTGATCTTTTATAGGTAACGGCAAATAGATGAGGATGGGTTTTATAGCACAAAATTCTAGTTTAATTAAACACATTGTCCATCTTACTTCTTTTAAAAAATAATATATCAAAATTTATTCTTACCTCTTGCTCCTTAATTTTTCACATTATTGTTGTGGCACTTTAGGAATTTATAGTTTTTTTTCTTTAAGATGAGTTAAATAATAAATAAATTGCATATATCAGGGGTTGACAAACTTTTCATAAAGGGCCAGACAGTAAATACTTCTGACTTTACGGTCCGTATGATTTCCCTCATAGCTAGTTAAGTCCACCATTGTAGTGTAGGCAGAACACAAATGAATGAGCAATTATAACATAGTTGAGTCAATAGGAAGTCATGATTTTGAATGGAAGACATCTCTTGTGTAATCATATATAAAAATATCCACAGGATAAATAAATTAAATAAATTTAATTTTAGATGTTAAAAAAAAGCTTTTCCTTTTCTTGATTAATTGGTTTGTCTTATTGTATTAGATGTGAATCATCACATTTCCCCTCTAATCCCTGACTGTGAACTAAGATTTAACTAAGAACTAAGAGCTATATTTTGTGTAGCTATCATTATCTCCCATGCCTTCATTGACTTAACTCCTTTTTGAAAGTAAGGAATAAACATACAAATGTCATGCTTATCTGACAGAAAGGACATAACTGGGGGTGGCTTCTTGACAAAGGTGACTTGACACCCCCATTTAGTAATAGGTAATGATTCAAATGAGGAAAATAATATATATATTTTTTATCAGAGTAATGTAAACAAAGACATCAGGTAGCACTTACTCAAACTGCACTGAATGAGATGGTGTAGAGTAAGTAACAGTAGTCGTAAATGGTATTTGGAGGCACAAATCTTGGGGTACTACTCACAGATTTTGTATAGTTGAGCAGTTTTAGCTTAATAAGTTCTACTTACCACAATAGCAGTGATTACTTATGTGTTTATAAAGTAAGAATCACTATTTTGTGCACTTACATAGGTTATTATGTTGTGTAAATCATTTCCCCAAACTATTATACTGATTTTCTAGCTATTAATAAAGTAATTCTTATTGTGAAATGGTATTAAGGAAGTACTACTATTTTAAAGTGTGCCATCTAGAATAAACATTGTTTCAACTTGTTGACTTTTATGTTTAGTTGATTAAACATGTGTATTTCTATATTCTATTTGCTGTAACATTTTTCTAATTATGCTTTGCTTTCAGTTGTTTTACAGGTTTGCAGTCTGGTCCTTTATCCAATCAAGTTCATTGAAACTGTGAGCTTGAAAATTTACCATGAGTTCAATTGGGGTTATGGCCTGGCCTGGGGTGCAACTATATTTTCATTTGGGGGTGCCATCCTTTATTGCCTGAACCCTAAGAACTATGAAGACTACTACTAGAACCAGTAGTGTCAAATCGAGAAAGAAACAACCATCCAACAAAAGGATTACGTCTGCATCTTTTTTCTAACTCACTGTTTTCTAAAACACTTGTGGAGCATAAAGCAGTTTGCTCAGTTGATTTTAATATCTTTTGCCTTTTGGCTGTCAACATCATAACCAGCTTTTACATCCATTTTAGGGACCTGCACAAATTAAGAGAGCTGATTAGATATAGGCAAATGCTGCCAACTTCCAATATGTTTGTGTCATTTTTCTTGACAAGTGAAGGGTCTATATGACAGCAACCATTGTGAGAAACTAGTTGGAATGAGAAATGCCTGAATCTCCTATTGCCTGCAGGGGAGCAGCTGGCATAAGCAACATTTAGAAGTTCCTTTGTGCTGACAAGGATTCCACTGTCAGAGGCTTATCGCTGCTTATCCCAACCAATGACTACATTGGCTGTTGGTTGTTTACTTGAGTGATCTCTTGAAAAGTGAACTGCCCTTCAGCATCTAATGGGAGTTCTGAATGTAACTGGTTAATGGTACATATTCCACCTTCAAGAGTACTTATTTTAATGGGAGGTTATGCTTTGGCAATCAGCATCTCCCTGGGAAGGGAGTCAAGATGTGGATACATGTGCTTTTCATTATGTGGTCAGAAATTGTCTCAGCCATATCTAGAATGAGGAAAAATTGAGTTTCTACTTCCCCTGGGGCAACTAGAGAGAAATATGCATGAGTTGCATTTGTCCTAACTACCCTTTAATTCATTTACCAAACATTACAGCAAACAATTGTGCATATGTAACAAGCTTAAATATTTTTATAGAAGGTGAACCATTAGTATAAATTGTAATAAGTTGTTTCCTAGCCCTACATATGCATTTGCCTATTACACATAAAACTAATATTTGCGCTAGTGAAGTGATTTGAACACTAATCTTGTACATGTTGTTAAGAGACTTAGACTGGTATTCACACTTATTTACCATACAAAAGTACATATCCTTTAAAGCTTTGCTCTATGTTTTCCACTGTTTAACTGGAAAGTTTTAATAGAATTGCATAAGAAAAAAAAAATGAAATGGTGTTAATCTGAAAATTAATGATTCCTCTGTAAGCACTGTAGATCAAAAGAGAGTAGCAATTAGGGTGATAATTTTGTTTAAAATTCATTAAATAGAAGGCTGCTTTTTTTCCCCAAGTATTTTAAATGTCTTCATTAAAAAATAAAGGAATATAGTGATAGATTTATATAAATGTCTAAATGTCTCAATAGAGGAGTAGAAATCATCTGGTTATCACCTGGTCCTCTGAAATTAACTAATGGGCTAACTAACATGTACTCACAATTATGATGGATTTATGATATGGGAATTATTTGTTGACTGTTCAAATGGAAGGAAATACCAGTAATAGGGAGTAAGTTTGCAATTAATCTCACTGCAAACTTACGTTAATCCTGTTTAATATACAAATTTGGATAGCTTAATTTTAAACATATTTTTATATCAAATATACAGTTCTAATATAAAAGTTATAAATAGTTATTTTTGTTAATGAAGGCGTTAAAGCAGTTATGTCCTGGTTTTGGCCCTCTTGCAGAAAGAAGCATTGGAAAAATCATTTAAAGCGAGTAAACTGTATTCCATTGTATTGCAGAATCCATTAAAAGAAGGACCACCTCAATAGCATTTAGTAATTTGCTTTACTTTTCAAAGCAGAGTTCTAATTCCAGCTTATCTTAAGAACTGTTGCCAAAAACAACAGGGAAAAAAAAAACTATTTTGTTATTCAAATGCTTTTTAAAAAAAGCTTGTGACTTTTCTATAGAATCACAAAGTAAATTTGAAAAACCAGGCTTATTTTTATTTTAGCAATGACAAAGGTGATTTAATGCATCCTAGAGAGAAACCTTTATGAAAGTATGATTCTACCTTGAATCATAAGATACTTGAGTGGACATTTTTCAGAAAGATATTAGTATTATAGACTTTTGAAGCAGTTTTCTTGATAAATAGTAATATCTGGGCCAGACTGTCTTGCATTTAATTTTGCATATTGTCAGAGGCAGCATGAGAAACACGGTATTGAACAAATGCGGTATTTGTTCAATAGGGATATCGGCTACTAAACATTCTCACTGTTGAGTGAGTCTCTTTATTCCGGGTAATGGAAGAACAGTACTTTGGTGCTGACATCTCTGAGGCACTTTTCTTAGTTGTAATGGAGGACGCAGTGTGCAGTTAACTGATATCACATCTTGAGTCTTAGTAAGTGACAGACAGTGTTATAGGCCAAGACCCATATTTGCAGTTTGCTCAAAAGTGGATTTCTTATGTAACTTTTTCTCCTTCTTAATGAAGAGCCCTATGCTATATTTCCACCGTCACTAATATTTGAAGGTGTTTCATTGCTAATAAGCTCAGTACAACTTGAAAGTTGTTGCTCATCTGAAATACTGTTTTGTCTGTCAAAATAAAACACAAATGAGTTTTTCACTTACATTAACATTATGAATTTGCAGCTTTAGGTTTATTTGAATCCATCATTTACCTTAGAAAGCTATATATACACACACATAAATAGCATAAAGTACTCAGCAGGGCTAGTTATCGGGTTTCTTGCACAACTCTTTAGCTTTTTGTAAGTTTAACATGTAAATTTTAAAGACATAAATATAGAGAGACCTATGTGTTTGAAATATAAACGGTATCTATGGATTAGCATGTACCTGTACATTATTAAACATGCAACGAACTGACTGGTGACGTCTAATTGTATGGCTAGCAATGTAATTTATTCAGACTGTATTTTTGTACAGATCAGTGCACACTCACCTATGCCTCTGTGTCCTCTTTAATGCCTAAAACTGTGCCTAGAAATTTCATCTGTCTTAAAAAAATAAAATATACTTCATGCTGTTTATGCTATTTGTTTCTCTATTGCTGTTCTATATTTATTTTAAAATATATGACATGTTTACTACTTAAATATGAATTCATGGTATTCTGATTTTTTTAACAGTCTTCTGGGGAAATCTGTTTATCACTCCAGTGGTTTTGAGTTTGCAGGTTCACAATCAGTTCTTCATTTTATGATTTTTTGTAGTTGACATGAAGTTATCTATGTGGAAATAATAAAAATAAAAGTGGTTTCACTGATGTGGTTTGACTTTGTGTCTTTTCTGCTGTGTAGAACCTTAGTCGGCTTCTTGAATTCCTATTTTCTTTTATTAAATAAATAAATAAATAAATAAATATATATATATATATATATATATAAATTGTTTAGAAAACACAGCTTAATATAATATGTTCATTTAATATAAAACATTTTGTGGCTTTTATTTCAGATTTTTACACAAGGTCAACCTCATAGTGGAAATGACACTAGAACTTCGTTGGTGGGTGAGGTGAGGCTTATACACACAGAGGTAGGTGTGGAGTTGTAGTCCCAAATTTATATAGTATTATAAATCAATAAAATTGTACTTAAACAATTTCCTCCCAAGATCCTATCTTTTGCAGCTGAATGACAGGAACAATTAAAAAAAAAAAAAAAGCTATCTGTTTTAAAATGCACAGAAATAAGATTCCTTGTTAGAGCGTGATGAATAAGATTCGTCCCTTCCTCCCTGCTCATAGTTAGAAGCAGGAGTGGTGAAAATGTTTGGTACTCTGTTTTGCATTTTATTTTCAGTGTTTGCAAGAAATGTTAAAGCAGGAAATAACTTCCTTATTTCTATTTTTTTTTTTTGGAGAGAGATCATTAAATTTTCATTGTGAAATTCACAGAGTTCATAGTCAAGATTTCCCATCACCCTTTGTGTATGTAAGTTGTAATTTTGGAAAGAAGTTTAGACAATAAAATTCACTTATTACCTGAGGATTTGCTTGACAGTATAAATATAAATAGAGCAACAGACATACAATTGAACAAATTTTCCTCCAATGATTAAGTCAGTTTGAATGTAAAACATTTGTGAAAGAGACATATTTTCATATCCCATGTACCCTCAAATTTTGAATTTCACAGTATTTTTTCTACTAAATAAAAAAACTAAGATTATTTGCAAGCCTATTACATTTAATTCAAACTTTCCAAAGTTTCAGCATTTGTACAAATTTTTATATCAGAAATTATCCTTTTCAGTGTCCTTGTTTGATGAAGGAGCATCATTTGTTTGATAAATTTTTAGCATAAAATACTTTAATTTTTATACAGATTTCCCATGAACAAAACACCTTTGCAAACATGTCCTGCCTTTGAATTAGTAAAACATGAATTAGGAAACATCACTTCACTAGGATTGGGCAAGGGAATATCCTTTGCCTTTAAAGATTCATACAAGAAACAGGAGAACAGTTACAGTTTGCCTTTCTACAATGACAGGAGCTGTTAGCAGTTTTCAGTGGGGCCCAGGCTATGGCAACAGTGTTCCATTTTGATAGTTTTTTTTTTTTTTTCATTTTGATAGTTCTAAGCTCAGTTTTGGTTAGAAAATAAATTGGTGTTGTGTTGCTATCTGAAGAATACTAAATACCTGGACTTTTATTTTATCAACTTCTCGTGTTATGATCTGTTAATAGCTTTTAGAAGTACAGTCTCATGTAAGATTAAAAGAGCAAATAAAATTAGAATAAAGTGCTTAGGAGTATTTTTACAGGAATCACTAATTTGAGTAAATAGCTACTTAATGTCAAAGTTAAAATCAGACTAAATAAAATTCCTTGTAACAAAATGCCAACAATTTTCGTATATAAGGCAAATTTATAGACTTGGGAGTCCTCACATTTTTTAACAGTTGCTAAATCTTGCCATAGCAGTGGCAGACCATCTTTATATCTATACTTGGAGAATCTGTTTCCAAAGCACCATCTCAGAGAGTCAAAGAGGTGACACACATTTATATTCCAGCAGTAAGCCTAATGATTCTGAAGTATAACTAAGAGAACAGGAGCTGAACTGTTCAAGTGAGAAGGATAATATGTGGTAGTTCTAAGCCAAGATTAACAGCACAAAAAGAATGGTGTTCTTTGTAAAACTAAAGCTGTGTTGAGTGATTCACCAGAGAAACTCAGTTTTGGCAAGCAATTATTTCCAAGTTGAATGACTTCATAGAAATAATGATTATAAAAGAAGCTTGGAACAAGTGCTGGAAAATCATGTCATCAAACCACTAAAAATCTTGAATACTTCAATTTCTACATGTGACAAGGATTCATGAAAAATGGATCAAAAATTTGTGTTTACTCATTTTAGCATGGGCAAGCATGTGACTGGATAGGAGGCTTGAAATAGTTTCTTTAGAAATGCTAGCAGAGAGGCAGTCAGGCCGTCTAACTCTATGGAGTTAGACTGAACATAATACATTCAATTGCTTCAAATTTATCATTGTAAAGGTAGTACCAGTCATCTGTATCGTCTATTTAATTTTTTTTTCATAAAAATGTAGTTCACAAGGATGAGACCAATGTGTTTAACCTGAACAGAAGATATTTAAGATTGCTGTGAATGGGGAGTTCAATTAAGGGTTAAATGGAAAATAAATAGCAATTTGTTGATCTTTTGGCTGAAAAAATGTGCTGTCACACTGGGCAACCTCACTTCAGCATTGTTTTTGGAGAACACATCCCGCCATGTCATTGCTCAGAGGTAACCATCCAGAACATGTTTTCCAATTTTATACTTAAACATCAGCTACTATAGTTGTGTTAATTGAGTTGTGGTATGTGTGAAAAAGGCAAAATGAGAAATTGTTATCAAACATTTAACACAATCATGAAAAACATGTTTCTCATTGACCTTGGAAGCTACAAAATGGAACAAATATGGCATAAATTAGAATACAGAAATTTTTATATTGGACACTTTCATATAAGCCTTCCAGTGTCATTTTCTCAAAATCTTGATATTTTTAATTGCTGCTCAAGCAAGATTTTGGAAAATCCACTGCTCAGAACCTTTGGCAATCCTCAATATTAACAAATCTTTTTGGAAATTTTCAAGACCTGGAAAGCATTGAGTTATATTCCCTCATTTTTCTAGGGCGTTTTTCTTTACCTTGTATCAGAATGCAATAAATTACATAATGAACTAAGTGTTTAAGTTTCAGAAAGTTCAAATATGAACTTCACGCAACTGGCTCCTGATACCAATGATTCTATGACATCTTTGAATCAGGAATGCTCTAAAAATTGAGCCAACAATTAAGACTTCTTATACCCATTCAAATCAAAAGCACCGTCTGGCTTTGTTAGTTAGGTTTGTTTGACTATTGCATTACTTAGATGGGGAAAACACATGTAACATACTATCTTCCAAAAGTTAGCCTGGTTTTGATTTACTTGTGTAACTATATACAGATTTCATGTATTTATGTTCCTGGAATGGTTTGCATGTGATCTATTTTGGAACTGGAACATTTCTGTAATTATAATACATGGAAAGAAAGTCAGAATAAGGATTGGGGAAATACATGTACAGGAAAAGTAGATTAAACAGTTGGGTTTTCCAAATTTTACTATTTAATCATAATTGTGTGATAAAAGACTACAAGCATGAGTGTGCAATCCTTTGTGTAACTGGATTGTTTTTGAGTCTGCTTCATGCATAATGATCTTTCTGAGAACAATAGAGGTCTAGGTTACCAGCCATACTTACACCTCATGACCCTGCACCCCTGGAGGTGATTACAGCAGAGATGGTTCTTGCCTTACGCTAATCCCCTCTGTTTTTCTTGCCCATTAATTTGGAATTGGTCTCTGCATGTAGTTGGTAATAAAATGCATAAGCTGTGGGGCTTTGGGGTATGTGCAGAGATGCAAGTAAAACTGCATAAAATAAAGGAATGAAATAGAAGTAGAAAGAAGTAGTCAAAAGAGACCATGTAAAACCCAGAGAGAATAGAAGACAGGTTGCCCCAGTTTCTAATAATGTCAAACTGCCTTGTGTTCCATGAACTCTGCATGCTTATAATAATTTAATGCTTTGGTTAAACCAGTTTTAGTTGAAACCAAAAGGAATTTTTGGTGGACAATGCACCCCTTTGTTAGAGGATTCAATATCCAAGTTGTGTTAAATCTCTAAAAAAGGGTAAATGGTGGAAGGAGGAGGTAGATGAGCTATAGGGAAAGAAGGGAGAAGAAAATTGTGACTGCAAAGTTTTCTTAAAAAGCTATTCAACAGATTAAATGTTTCAAATTTGGCCTGTTGACATTATTTAGAAGGTGATTGATTCTTAACTCAAATGAATTTGATAACTCTCGAAAAAATTTGCCAAATGAAATTTGTCACATTTGCAAACAGAACATTTCCCAATTAAACTAGTCCTTTAACAGCCTTTCATACTTGAAAAGTAAAATATCTTTATTTTAGCCATCAGCTAAGATCAATTTAACATAATAAAGACATTTACCAATTTTAGGAAATCTTTGTGAGCACTGACAAATGCATAACTATACTGTCAGGGAACCCCTACGCCATCATTATGGGGATTTCCATCACACATTTTTACATACACACAATCTCCAAAAAAGAATTGGGAAGCATATGAAGATTTCTTGACATTCTTTCTATCCCACTCTGGGGTAGCCAACACTATTTCCCTCTCAGAAATTGCTCTGAGTTTTCTCGTGTACAGTACAATATAACCAAGTAGACTTATTTTAGTGTTAATTCTCCGTTTTGTGTGTATATTTTCCCACAAGATCAGAGAGATCTTCTATGGAAGGAGGGAAGTTCAACAATTATTAGATGGTATAAATGCTGTTCTGAAACCACTGAAGTCTCAGGGTAGTGTCTGCCCCATCTTCTGTGTGGGATAATCACTGTCACTGCACAGCTCCAGAAAGCACCCTCCATGTTTCAAAGAATCCTCACCCTGCTGACTTTGTTTCTTTCGAATTGAGGATTTCAGAGAAGTACCTCTCTCACACACACACCACTACCAGAGAGGGTTTCCTTTCCCTTCTCTCTTGAGCTGCTTTAGGCTCAGGTAAATCAGTCCTAAGTAGAATCAAGTATATTGGAGTGAACACGTTACTCTGTCTGGTAACTTCTGCCAAGTCCTCTGGAGACTTTTATCTTCAGCTTAAGCACAATCCCAGAGTTTCTCCTGGATAAATCTTTGATTAACATAGTGATTCCACACATGGAAAAA